GACAAATGTAGACGTGCGTCGTAAAATGTAGGAAAAAGTTTTAATCATTAGAAGAAAATCGGCACGTGGTACACCAACTAAACGTTCCAACTCCTCCAAAGCATTTTCTGGCTCTATAGCGTCCTCAGTGGTCGCAGGTATCATTTGCCTATGCACAAAACTTAGCACCGTTGTAAAAGTATCATATGGTAACGCATTTATAATTTTTATACCCTCTCGTGCTCTACAAAGAAAAAAAAACGTTCGTATACGCCGCTACTTCAATAGATACATATGTATGTACATAAATTAAAAATTTTACATCCTTAAGAAAACAAAAACTAAGGAAAATTTGTACAATTATAAATTTAAAAAGAACTGCATCTTTTGATAATCACCTCTCAGTAATTTTTATCCAATTGGCAGCCATTAATATATATTAAAGATTAAATTATTTATTTACACACTTTTAATGTATTCTATAAAAGCGATTATAATCGTCAAAATTTCTGGCGAAAAATGCTTTGTATATCAAAATGGTGTCCAACCGTACTTGGCAGTGCTGCCCACCCAACATTGATTTTCAATAGTGTTTGGAATTGAAAGAGTTTGAATTTATGGCAGCACTCTCTTGATTGCGTTATCAACCATCGATTATGTTCATATTACAGCTGTTTCGAAGCTATTTGGACACATCGTCGTTCATATCAGAGAACGTATCTCTGTTCATATATAAAGTTTGTTAGTTTTGCCATTAATTAGTTAAATAGTGATCGAATATGACAGCAACATTGCGGTATCGTGGGGATAAAAACAATATTATTGAGTTGGCAAAAACTTTAGATGCTTTTAAGAAAGTGCCGGAAAAATATACAGAAACAACAGAAATAGGGGGCACATGTAAGTTGAAATACATATGTACACCAAAATAAGTTAAGCGCTGAACTATTTTAACCATAACGATTTTAGTATCTTTATTGAGTCGTTTGCTCATTATTTACCTCATTTATAAGGAGGTATGCTATTACAAAGAAGCTGATCTCATTTATCAATTTGAACCTGACATCGACATGGATGATAAAGTACAAATGCATGTCGATATCACCGTGGCCATGCCATGCTCCTGTAAGTAAAAATGACATTGTGACATAAAGGATAGATTAGTAATACTGACTGATTTATTATGTGTAGCCCTTTCTGGCGTTGACCTAATGGATGAGACACAACAGGACGTATTCGCGTATGGTACCTTACAACGAGAAGGAACTTGGTGGGTTTTACCTGAAGAGGAACGTCTTCAATTCGAACGCATGCAGCATATGAATACGTTTTTGAGAGAAGAATATCACTCTGTTGCGGATATTCTATTTAAAGATATTATCAAGAATAATGAAGTGAATGTGAAACCAATAGGAGACTTGAAAAAACTTCCGGAGGAGCAATATGATGCATGCCGTTTACATGGAACATTGGGTATTAATAAGGTAATTGATTTCGATTTATTTTATAAAACATAATATCTGAAAATATTGGTACCACAACAACGAACAAGTTAGTTATTTTGAAGACTTTGTTGTTATTATCCACTGCTATATTGTTTATGTAAAAATGGTCGGTATATTATTACACAACGTATGCACTATACATTTTAATGATTAGAAAAAAATTTATGAATATGAATGTTTTTTTAATAATTTAAAGGCAGACAAAATACATAAGTTAGATTGGAGCTTATTGAGTATAATTAAAAAATAAGTTTTATTTAATTATTATCATACGAAATATTCAATTGGTATAAAAAGTTTGTTTTCTATTCGTGTATATAAAATGGAATATAGCCACTTTGTTCTAGGTGCCGCAATTGGCTATTCGAAATGGTGCCAATAAGCACGGAGACGATATCGAAATATTAATTTATTTAATATTTGAACAATATCACGACCAGATTGACATAAAATAATAGTATATATTGCATAAAAGAGGCATTATGGTATAGAAAATATATAAAAAGCGAAATTGTGTATTGCAGCTTAATAATTTAGTGGCAACAACGTATACACATCAAAATAAAAAAGAGATTTTTAATAGGGTGGTAACACTTACAGTCCAATCTAAAAAGAAAGCTGTAAAGAAATGTTTGGTTAATTGTGGCGTAGCTAATATAAATTTATAAAAAAAAAAAAATATGTTTTATGCACATTTAATTTTGGCCAAAAAAGGCCCATTGGCCCGAGTATGGTTGGCTGCTCACTGGGATAAGAAAATAACAAAAGCGCACGTATTCGAAACAAATATTGAGAAATCCGTGGAAGGTATAATGCAACCAAAAGTAAAATTGGCGCTTCGCACTTCGGGGCATCTATTGTTGGGTGTCGTTAGGATTTATTCGCGGAAAGCAAAGTATTTATTGGCGGATTGCAATGAAGCATTTGTTAAGATCAAAATGGCCTTTAGGCCTGGCATGGTTGATCTTCCCGAAGGACATAGGGAAGCAAATGTAAATGCAATCACTTTGCCAGAAGTATTTCATGATTTTGACACAGCCTTGCCCGAGTTGAACGATATAGACATTGAAGCCCAATTTGCGATAAACCAATCTAGAGCAGATGAGATCACTATGCGAGAGGATTATGGTGGTAGCTTGTCACTTTCTATTCACGATGACGGTTTTGGTGATATGGGATTTGAAGGCGACACTCCTGATTTGATACGTGGTCCAATAGATGCGAATATAGATGATCAATTATTTGGTGATGGTGGCATGGCGGACGTTACATTGGTAGATGAACCAAAAATAACATTAAATGATACAGATTTGGTAAACTCACGATTAGATGGAGATGGTTTTGGGGATGAATTTGGACAGCCTGAACTTTTTGAAGACGATCTTTTCGCTGAACCGCCATTAGATACCAGTGACAATAATTTAAAAGCTGTCATTGGTGCTGCACAAGAATCTGATGACGACGGCATGGATCACATGGATATTAGACCACCATCTGTGGCATCCAGTTGTGAACATCTATCCGAAGCAAATGAAGTAGAGAAGGAAGCTCACAAAGATGAGGGTAACGAAGCTTTAGGAAATTCAAAGGAAGAGGAAAATCCTTTGGACCAGTCAACATTGCTGCAAAATGAAGATGAAAGCTTTGCCTTGGCCCCCATAGATGCCTCGGCATACAAAGGTGTCACCAAAGCTAAACGCAAACGTAAGCTAATTGTTGATGAAGTCAAAAATATATCTGGCGAAGAAATGAAGGCGCAATTGGCAAACACAACGGATATTGTAACAACATTAGATTTGGCACCGCCAACAAAACGACTCACTTATTGGAAGGAAACTGGCGGTGTGGAAAAATTATTTTCACTACCTTCTAGAACTATCCCGGCCAGAGCTTTGTTTTTAAATTACCAACGTCATTTAGTGTCCCGTTGTTCAGCACTCGAAGACTTTTCTATACTTGGTCCATCTGACTTGTTGGCTATAGAGCATATACAGAATGAAAATGATGCAAATGTCATAAACAACAAACGCGGTCGTAAACGAAAGCATGAGCTCCAACCAGTACAGCAAATCATTGCGGATGTGACGGCACAAAGTTTGGCAGCACCAGAAACAGTGCGAGACCTTGAACACAGTGTTGGTCAAACACAATATTCGTTGGCAGAGAATTTAATACCACCGGCGGAGAGCTCTTTGTTTGACAATATGCGCAGTCCCAGCCGTATGCTAAGCATGAATGAAATCAATGGTATCGAAAATTTAACATCACTCAACGATTTACCTCTGACGCCGAGTAACATGCATCACGGTATCGATGCATCCGATGATTTCAATCATGGCGACGTGACGCCCGCAGGTCTACATCATGGAGACCAAACTCCGCATCATTCCAGTATTGAACATATCGATAATTTACCCAATCTACCAGCCGATCAAGTGTCATCTATATTACAAGAAGCTGAGAATATACCAAATATCCAACAAGATATACTAGCAGGCAAGGCGCAACGAACTAGCGATATATCTACAGATTGGAATGATTACGATTTACCGCCACCACCGCCAAATCCTGCTGAAGAGCAATTGGAAAACGAAACAGATGAACAATTTGAGGAGCGCGTACTCAATAAACGAGCAGCACAATTGTTCTATACCGTTAAATCTCGTTTAATAAAACAGGATTGCCTAATATTATCTGCATTAACAGTGAATAACTCCAGGAAGCAGGCGGCACAAAAGTTTTACTCGTTATTGGTACTGAAAAAGTTCCGAGCACTCAATATCGAACAGACCCAGCCATATGCGGATATAGAGATATCAAGAGGGCCGCTATTTGAAAATCCAAAATTATAAAGCATGATAAAATTTAATATATTTTCTTTTATATTATTATAATTATTATATTTTATATTACGAATGTTTAATTCGCTTTTAAATCGTAATTTTCTGTATGTAAATAATAAATTATTTTTATATATAAATAAATATTATTGTACGAAAATTATGTGAATTGAACGTGTACTTTTAAAATATAAGCAAATATGGTATTTACGAAACGAAACTTTGTCATTGAAAATCCCTAGATATGTAAGTACTGAAAAACTGCAGCTTAGAGGTAGAAATGCGCTCCTAAATTGAACCATCAGCCGCAGAAATTTTTAATATACATATATATTTAATAATAAATAGTTTATTATACCATCGTGTAATCATCTTATGAAATTTATCTAAACTCTAAGGTCGCTGGAGTTCTGCACTTGGTTGGTGGTGCGCAGCCATTTGTTGGGCTCTTCGGCGATCACTGGACAATCGATTTTCGACGTACGCCAGCTAATTTCACGCATCGCATCAATCGCTTAAGTTTTGGTCAATATTCACGACGCATCGTACAACCGCTTGAAGGCGACGAAACGCTAGTAGCCGATGAAGAAACAACGGTACAATATTTTTTGAAAATTGTACCCACCGAAATACACAACACCTTCACAACGATCAATACGTATCAATATTCAGTGAGCGAGAATGTGCGACAATTGGGTATGTATAAATACTTGTACTTTGTAGTGCCTTGTTTGCATATATATTTTCTATAATAACTTTCCTATATTCCTTTTAATTAGACTCGACCAAAAATTCGTACGGCTCCCCTGGCATCTATTTTAAATACGATTGGTCGGCATTAAAGATCATTGTGCGCACTGATCGTGATAATCTCGTGCAATTCATAATACGACTATGTTCCATCATTGCGGGCATCATCGTTGTCTCAGGTAAATACCGAAGTACTAACACTTATTTCAAGGCATTTAATAAAAATATGAATTTCATTACAGGCATTTTAAATACCATTTTGGTGTCTATGCAGCGCCTTACCATCAATATAATTGCGCCTCAAGTTTTACAACAGACACTAAATCAACACCACGACAGTGCTAGCCGCGACGGTGGCGCACATATCGCTGTTGGAGCTGGTGCTGTGAACGTGAATCTCGACAGCGCCAGTTTCGCGACGCCCACGACTAAAGTACTGTCGAATAATCTCATAAATACCGCGAATATCATGTCTGACAGCATTAGCTTGCTGAATGCCACAACTACAACAACCAGCATTCCAACGATTGTGCCAATAGCCGTTGATGAGGAGCCACCATCAAAATAACCGATTCACATGCACTCCACGTAGAGGATTTTCTACACTGCGTTCGAGGTAAAAGCCTCGCTAATTTCACAATTAATTTTTATGCAAAGATTATATATTGTCAACGGTTATGTACACGTACATATATACATATATTTGTATGTTTCATTAAAACATCTTTCATATGTTCTTTGTAAGAATAATATACTATTTTTATTTGGCAATCTGGGTCACAGCTAATAAATACCCAATTTAAACAAACACATACACCATTATTAATATAAGTATATGTATGTACATATGTAATAAGAATTTCAACAATGCAATGCAAAGAATTAGTATGCAATTAGTTAAAACGTACTCGTCGATATGTTATTATATTAATTTTTCACTGTCTCGAACAGATCCATCTTTATATTGGCGAAATTACCGCTGCGTTTGTAACCGCATATGCTTTTCAATATTTCCAAACTCGATGCAATTGTGGTGTTCACATCTTGCTCATTGCCTAAGCTTGGATTCAATTCCACCAAATCGATGCCTTGCACGCGATTCGTGTCACGTAGCGCCTCTACCACCGATATACCCTCGCGTAATGTTAGGCCGGCACAAACAGCTGTACCAGTACTGGGTGCTACGGCTTTGTCCAAGGCGTCGATATCGAAACTGACATGTATCTTATTTTGCGGTTTCAGTGAGTCCAGTGTACGTTCGATGATTTTAGAGATGCCGTATTTGTCCACAGACTACAAAAAAAAAAACAAAACAACGCAAAAATTACGAAATATTTTGAGGTAAGAAATATAAAACAATTTACTTAACGGTAATATTTAGTTATTTGTTTTTGAAATCTAAAGTAGGAGATTACATGCCGCTATGAGCAAACTTTTTACAGTCGCAGTGCTTTAACGGACCTAAAATGAAGAAGCACGATCGTGAAAGCTAGCTCTAGCATGGTGTTGAAGCAGATTGTTTTTATAGTGTCAAAAACATCCCTGAAGTAGTTTGTAGGAATGCTGACGAGTTGACAGGGCTTGGTCGGATTAAAATTCGGACCCAATCCGGTTACATAGGCTCAATTGTCGTGGGAACGGAAACTATTCAAGCACCAACCCTTGTAGTGTGCTAAACTCTCACTACTTCAACAAGCCTAAAGTATGCCCTGCTTACCAAGAGTACCCGCTTGACACTAACAGCAAGTTTTTGGGGCCCTCCTTGCCTACTCATCTTGGCTCTAATTTCGCTTTTGTTGTTCTGGTTATTGTTATAGTGGCAGAAATCGTTCCTGAAGTAGTTTCGAGGAATGGTGCAGAGTCGATAGTTCTTGGTAGGTCCTTTCCGCTTAGTTTGATCGGACTGTCGTGGAAAGAGCTCCAATTCGTTTTAGTTGCACGTGGTTGTTATTTTTAGTAAATTTAGAGAGCTTCGAACAAGAAACTTAACCTTTGGAAGAGTGACTAAATGAAGGTGTCAAGAGCATTGTACTAACTCAACTGCTGTAAAAAATGATTGATCTTTCTCAAAAAATGAAATATGAGGCCACTAAGAATGGTAGAAGTAAATGTGTGTTCAATGTTCATCTCATAATAAACCGTTAAACTGTATCAAGCGCCTTTTCCTCGACTGGATCGGTACTATTTTATTCATATATTTACTCTCGTATATGTGCATCGGTCATTTGGGCTAACGTTTTTTGCAGTGTATGCAAAACTTACGCATTTTCCATTGTGCGAACGGCGTCATGCATTTTCCCACAAGAAAAGTCATTGAAATTTTTCAGCGCACCGATTTTCACGTCTCATAAATAAAATTCTAAAATAGGTTCGAAAAGTGCAAGGCTTTATTAACACCGCAACACCCCTCTAACGCGCGGCGTATGAGGATTATACGCGCACCGGCGGAAATCGCCTGTACTGAATTGCAAGCATACATATATACCGGCAACAACAACAAAACTATTTATTACTATTTTTCAGTTTGTTTCAAGCACCGCGCCGCCGATCCGGTTCATTCCCCTTTTGACGCGTCGTTGTTAAAATTAATGTCCCTGCATGTGACGGCGAATTCTGCGCACCCTTTGTACACGTATAGCACCCTATACTCTGTACGCATTACAACCACCATCGCCACGCTGCCGCTACCGCTGCAGCCACGCCAAAATCGAGGTGTGGACAAAATACAGTCGCTGCAATAAACTCCGCGAGGGTTGCTCACTACAGCTCGATTCAATTCAAGTCACACAGACGCTCTTAAGTGTGTATGTGTAAGTGTATATGCGGCGGCATGGAAGGATATCAAAGATCGCTACACTGTATGCAGTGTGTTTAGAGTGAAATGATCTTACTCCTGCTGTTGTCAGCGCCGTCGCGCCAACGTTCCAACGGCAGTGATAGTAACAGCGTTCTCAGCCGAGTTTTGTAACAGCAAAAACAAAAACTTGCCAACACACATATGTACATACATTTACCGAAAATGCTCAACTGTTAGCGCAGACCGACAGTGCACCCCCTCGTTACCAAACTAAAACCCATCGCGTGAGCTAACGCACAGTGATCCAAAAAGGCAATTTACGCGATGTCCGGTTATTCACACTCGCTAACAATACAACTCAAACTTCGAGGAGAGCGTGAGGAATTCGTTTATCGCTCTGTGAAACGATAGCCGAAGCCGATAATGTTTTATAAGGTCCTTGCTCAGTCGAGGACGCTTGAAAAAACCACACCATCTTAGCATCCAACAATGGCATGTAATGACATTCTACACGTTGCACCTGAAGACATACCTGGTAGGTGCTGGCGGCGAGGCGGTGCTAGTGATTTCCAGGCGGGCCGAAGCCGTTAGAGAAGGAGTGTAGTCAGCTTTTGCAAGGATTGTTCGATTTTAAGGAAGGGGATGGGTGCTAGACTCTTCTGGCGGGAGCTCTCCATCACTTCTAGGTTCAGACTACTAGACCACTGTAGCGTCCTTCATACGGAGGTAGCTGTCATTAAAACTGTAGGAAATATACTGCTCCGGAGTGCAGCTTCCTTCAGAGAGGTGGATATTCATTTCGACAGCATACGGCTATACTGGCTTTGAGCTCGCAGTAGTTTCAAGCTTCTTCAATATTAGGCTCGTGTGGGTGCCCGGTTTCAGCGGAATTGCTAGAAACTGCAAAGCCGATGATGCGCTTTCCTCAATTTCATGCGATTGGAGTCGAATCAATTCTCCAATCTCTGCTTGTGCTCTGGCGTAGGACCTTTGAATCTATAGTTGGAATCATTTTGTCACTTCTCTACTGACCAGTTTTCTAGACTGAGATTGAAATATCTCGGTAGACACACCTTTACCGAGCCTAGCCTAGTTGCTGATAGTTAATATTAACCGCCCTAAAAAATTTTGGACCAACCCCTATCCTAACCCAACCCTCTATGCATTCTTGAATACATTTTTGAGATGGATCATATGACCGGCGGGCAATTGCGGGCCTTGGAGGAACCAACATGAACTCTTATCATCTGGACTAGAGTCCAGGCGGATCACATCAAGGCAAGACTTCAATAATCAACTTTCGCTAGTATATATGGATTATGTAAAGTTTTTACCAGCAGTTCCCTCAATTTTTTCTTTATGAAATTTAAAATTTTACCACTGTGCTAATGTAGTGTGCGTGCATATCCTCATGCATGCAATGTATACTTACATCCATCGCGAACGCTCGTATGCCCAATTTATTCAGGATATACGCTTCGTACGGGTCAATGTCCCTCAAACCAATGTAAACAAGCTGATCAGCGGCCAAACTGTAAATAGAATAATTTAGAATAAATGGAAATGGAAATATGAGAAGCAATTATTTATGGATATATTTATAGGATACACCAATAAAGTACATATTGAAATATATGTGGATCCAGCCACAGGCTCATAAAAATGTAATTTTCCCTTTTTTTTATATCCCAGATTGGCTGAAGATTCAGAATATCGTAAGAATTTCCAGGAAAATCTGTCAAACTCGAAGATCTGATCTAACATAAAAAATAGTGTTTTCTAACATATCTAAAATAGCTTGGGTCTCATATTTTTGGAAATTCAGCTGAAATACCGGACCTAGAAATAAAACACCTAAGCAGATTTGTGATAGGTTCAGGAAGTTTTTTCCTATGGATTCACAAACGACTGCGCTTAATAGTCTAAGTATGATTCCTCGTTCGAGGGACCAGCAACCTAGCCTAACACTATCTGCTTGGTTAATGGAACTCATTGTGTAAGAGTTTTTATCTGATAGTTGGAACGATGACTTGGTATGAAGCCGCTTCCACTCGATATTAGTTCTTTCTATAGAGTGATCATTCTATGCCCGTGCTGTATGGTCTAAATTTGACTTACGACTGCGCAGTGCTTTCTGCAAGATACATTTGTAGTGAGGATTCCACCCAACAGTAAAACATCGAAGACCTTCACCTCACCTCAATCAAACCTTACATTTGGACCAAATGATTTTCCGCTCCCACGACTGCCGAGATTACGTAACCGGAACGGACCCGTATTTTTATCCAAGGACAGAATTACTCGGCAACATTCTTCCAAATTAATCCAGGGATGTTTTGCTGTCGCTACAACAACCAATTTGTTTTTGCTATTTCTCTGTCACAAATATTCGGACGACGAGTATCACAGACGAAGCTGATGTGAGCTGTTTATGTTTATAGCTACCCTAATTTGGCGCTCTTCTATAATATCTTTAGTTAGGTTCTTTCAGAGTATAATTCTGTATATCCATTATAATGCGTTTATCGACCGCATTGAAGGCTATGATCTGTAGTTATAAGTACCGCATTGAGCCTGCGATCATTCCTTGGGGGCTTCACCAAGTACCCCAAAGAGTTCTAATATCTATATTGATGACGAGTAGCTCAGTCAAAAAAAGGTTTCAGTGATACATTATTATTATTATTAATTGGAATACTTTGGTKTCCGTCTGGAACCCATGCAGCTGACAGACAACTTGGCATGTACGAAATACGCCATTTGTTGAAAACTTTCAAAACACATGCCATGATCAACACACGATCAGCTTGGCAATGCCCAAGAGGCCAAAACTAATCATTTACATCAGCTCAGCAAGCTGAAAACACCCCACAGCGTATAGTTTAAAGAGTATATATACAAATGTATGTATATACTGCATATTTAAGCAAGTTTATGTCAGACGGAAAATGTAAAATATAAAAATACAAAAAAGGGCTGACAGCGTTGTAAAAGGATATGCACATATTTACATGCAAGCTTGCAGGGCGAGCAACGCTTCAAGGGTCCTTAATTTTCCAGCACAGCGCACCGAGCAACGCGGCGAACTTACAGCTTGGCTGGCAGTTGGCCGCTGCTTTTGTGACACGTGATTAGAGCAGTGTGCTCAACCGCACTGGCCGGCGATGCGGCCCAGTTTCGTCCGTCGCTGGCCTTAGAAACGCGCATTCACGCGTGCGATGTTGTAAGTGCATTTTTCATTATCCTTCGGCAATATTGTTCGCCTACGAAGAATGTAAACAGCCAAACGGGGTGCTTTTAGATGCCTTGCAATATAATATATGAGTGCGTGTACGCGTACATATGTTTTACCTCTCTAAATAGCGCCCTGCTTGTAAGGGTCTTACACAATCGGCTGACTTTTCAGGTTTTGTCAATTTGGTTTACATATTTTGCTGCTTACATGTGTGTGTAAGTAAACACAGAAGCAAAAATTGCTTTTTTATGTTTTTTTTTTGTTTTTTGTTTTCGCCATATTTGCATAAGTTAAGGGTGGATTAAAAGTGACTGCATTTGGCCATTTGGATTTCTTCCACAGTTTATAAGTTTTTGCATGAGCGGATGTGTTTTGAAAACTAGGTTCCAGCTGTTTGGTTTTAAATCCTTTGTTATGTCCGTAATAATTCTATTCTACTATGGCGAAACCCCTTTCTCTCTTTAATGTTTATGAAAAATAAATTATCCAAGTTTCTAGTGAGTCACTTCAAATAGCTTAAGCTGCAAGGCATGCGATTACGCTTTGTCTTTCAGTGCTTTATTCAGCTAAAACTTCTGAAAAGTATTATTATCCTTGTATTAAGTTCTAAGAAACTATTGAGTTATAAATCACATCTACATATTCACCAATGGAAAACTAACAGTTATAGCAGGCATTAACCAAACTGTACATCTATAAATGGATGGTCCGGAAAGAGTTTTATTTTTCAAACCCCACTATCCACCGCGCTATTTTTATGTATAATTACGGACAACGCATTGGGCTACAATCATCTAAGCAGCTATTCAATTCAAATAACTATTATCTGCAGGCGGGGGTCGATGGGTGGCCGGTCGAGCTATTCAAGCACGGCGGCGAAGATCTGCTAATGAGCATGCATCAGCTTCTTTGTAGAATATGGTCGGACGAAAGCAAGGTATTGTGTAAACGACTAAAGCCCACCGTCAACGAACTGATTGGATCTTATCAGTGTGGCTTTAGGCCTGGCAAATCGACATTTGACCAAATATTCACCATGTGCCAAATCTTGGAAAAGACCCGTGAAAACAGTATCGACACACACCACCTTTTCATCTATATTAAAGCTGCTTTTCACAGCCCTATACCGCTATGTCTGTATTTGGTACCCCGCAAGACTAATACGGCTGTGTAAACTGACGTTGGAAACACCAAAAGCTCAGTCAGTATCGGGAAGGACCTCTTCGAGCCCGTCGATACGACGACTCCCTATCGTGCCACTTATTCAATCTGCTGCTGGAGAAAATAATTCGAGCTTCAGAACTTAATCGAACAGGTACAATCCTCCATAAGGGTGTACAGCTGCTGGCGTATGCTGATGATATTGATATCATTGGCCTCAATATCGGCGTCGTTAGTTCTGCTTTCTCCAGACTGCAAAAGGAAGCAAAGCAAATGGGTCTGCTAGTAAACGAGGAGGGCAAGACGAAATATCTCCTGTCTTCAAGTAAACAGTCGTCGCCCTCGTGACTAAGCAGCCACGTCACTGTTGACAGTCATAACTTCGAAGTCGTAGATATTTTCGTCTATCTTGGAACCAGTATTAACACCAACAACAATGTCAGTTTCGAAATCCAACACAGAATAACTCTTGCCAACGGACTGAGTAGGCAATTGAGGAGTAAAGTCCTCTCTCGACGAACAAAGTTCAAACTCTATAAGTCACTCATTATTCCTGTCCTGCTCCATGGTGCAGAGGCATGGGCGATGACAACATCTGATGAATAGACGCTACGAGTTTTCGAGAGAAAGGTTCTGCGGAAGATTTATGGTTCTTTGCGCATTGGCAACGGCTAATATTGCATTCGATCCAACGATGAGCTGTACGAGTACTTGTATGACGATATTGACATAGACAGCGGCTGCGCTGGCTAGGTCATGTCATCCATATGGATGGAAACAATCCAGCTCTGAAACTTCAAACTATGTTGGAGAGATCAGGTCCATACAAGGACCTGATTTTGATCATTAAGTTTGTAAGGCAGCGCATTTTTTTATCGATTTCGGAAAAACAGAAAGTAGAGACAGACGGGCAGGCAAGCAGACCTTACAGGATCTCCGACAATTCCTTCTGGGCGTTACAAATTTCGTGGCACACTTAAAACCGAACGCAAAGCCGCGTTGGAATGCACCCAGCCTGATCCGAATACTGCAAAGTATTGTAGAATTTCAAAGCGAGTTGGATAGAAAGTATATTACCGACTAACCGGACGGAATAATAACAGTTGCGCTTATGTACATTACTTTGGTAAGTATATTCGATCGTCACATCGCTTCCGGTATAGTTTTCTGTCGATGTGTATGTCTCACTCATATGGTCGATTTTTTCCTGACCTACACTACAGCTACTCAAGTTTCTGTTTACCGTCTTTTGTTGTGTTCCCCTCAGTAAACATGTAAGCGATAGTGCGAAGTACGAAGGAAGCCGAAAGGCGGCTAAGCTTTGCTTTACTTACAAAATTTGTCACGTCACAGAATCTCAAGTATGTTTTCAACTCGATGAGTGTGGGAAACACTTCAAGGAACTATAAACTCGTGCACATATACTCGCATAACGGAGGACCAAATACATGGGTTTATTGTTTTTAAATATATAAAAATTATTCGAGTGAAAGAAAGTGAATACTACTTTATTAGCTGGATATTGCACCAAGTTAGCTGCGCTATCCGAAGCACGAACGGCAACTTCGATCGGCAGTTACCTTATATTAAGTTCCCGACTAGTAAGAGGCAGCACGAATCCTTAGGGTAGTCTGAAGCACCCCCTATACTGCACGGCACCCTCAACCGTCTCATGTACAGCGGGTACCAAATTGGCTGAACACTTGTTTTACCAACAAAATCGTCTAAATTGGTTTGTTGTTTAATGTTAGTGCGGTTGTGGGTGCGAGACGTCGCCTTGCTGTCTGCAGAAATCATAAAACTCAGCGTAATATGAGCATATACACACATACATATGTACATAATGTATAATATACGTATGTATGTGTAGCTTGCTAAGCAGCTGCAAAGTGCGGAAACGGATGCATTGAGTGTGCCACACAAACTACATATATTTGTACTTGCGAAATTGGCGCGTGGTGGTTGATACTTTGATTCTACACACATAAATCATGTCTGTAAATCGCATCGAACCGAATCAATTGAACTGATCGTAGTTCGGCAGCTCGAGTGGCAATGCGTCAGTCCATCACCGCTCTTGGGTAATTTGTCGCAGCTGTTTCACTGTGCGCTACCGCTGTCGTTATCGACAATGCCATTCGTTTTTGATCGTGTTAATTGCATTGCATTAATTGTGCAATGTTTTGCCTTTATCCAACTTTGCGCGCATGCGTTTACATTTAATTCAGGTCCTTTGTCACTTTGCACAACGTTTTCTTTTCAAAATGTAACAATTCTTTCTTATTTCTGTTATTATCATTTTGTATTTTGCTTGGTACATACTGTATACTTATGTTGGTTGTAGCCCAGACACCCTCTTTTTTTGAGCGACGTGATTGCGTTGCGTAAAACCGGCTCACAAACGTATAAACAAGCAAACACAAATATGTACATATGTATGTATACATGGTATGTACATATATATGTATATGCACTCAATCCATGGTAGGAGAAGGTTTTGCTGACATTGTGCCACCGCCGCCGCCTCCGATACATGTGCCGGATGTAAGCTAAACGCAGACAATAAAAAGGGCTTTCCAACCCTTACGGGGGTGTCTACCCTCTAGTTTCAAATATGCATTGATATGGTAATGCAAACATAAATACATACATATGTGTGACTTTACTTCTTGTAGTTATGTTGCTGCTGTACTTCCACTAGATATGCAAAAATGCGACCACCGTCGATCCGTGCTGTGTGCGAGCAAAAGTTATGTATGTACATATGTATGTATGTCTTGTTCTAAACATGTAATTCTAAAAGTGTATGCTAGCAGCACGAAGTATCTGTTTGTGCTCACTATAAAGCGGTTGACGACCTCTCTTTCGACCATTCTTTCGCTTTTCATTATCGTGCGTGAAGTAGGGCGGAAGTTTTTGCGTTGCACGAAACTCCCCTTTTCTATACGAATACCTGCCGCAACGTCGGATAGTTCTCTTGAAGCCGACGCATACGTCGCCGTCCTTGCCGAAATAGTGAGTACTCTGGGGCTTCTCACACAAATGAACATCACCAAAAGAAAAAAACAATGATTGGTTGTTTTGCAAAAATTTTACATAAAATGTACGGTTTGACAATATTTATAAATTTCTTCGAGATTTCAACAGCCCTATTGAATATTTCTGTATGTACATACAAATTTATTCTGAAGAGTCTACTTTGAGTAAAACGGAAGTCGAAAGCTTCAACAGCAAGCAGCAGCACTATCAAACACATATGTATGTATGTAAGTAAGCGCTCATGTATGTATGTATGTATGTATACGTACATAAGTACATATATTCGTAAAAGTGGAGAGCGTTGAGAAGATATACAACAACTATAAGAGTACCCGCCTTTTTCTGCAGTGTACGTCATATTTGGGGAGACATCGCAGTTCTTAACTTTAGGAAATATTTGGAATTTTAAAAGTGTTTAAGTAATTCAAAATGAAAATAATAAATAATAATAATTTGAGTCATTGCTACATATTGTGTTGAACATGTTTTATATGAAATATAAACTCCTAAACAAAAGTGTAAGTAGGTATGCACAAATGGATATGACTGTATATATTTACGTTTAGTACACTTTTCAATTCATACATATTTATGTATATGTGTATACACTGTTTTGGGTATAGCTGGCGCATTTGACCCGTATTTATAGTTTCTACACAACTACCGGCCTGAACTATTTCCAGACATGGTTGCTGCGCTCATCACTGCGTCCGCCATTTTAAACTCGGAACAGGTAAAACACCAACAGCATAAGAATCAGCGAATTTAGGCAGAGAGCGTTGACTAGACGATGGTTGCATAGTTATATTCATATAAACATATGTACATATACATATACATATACAATTGAATTTGGAAAAGTGTAGTTTTCGCTATGGAGAATAATAATAACGAAGTCATAGAAAAATCCGGCAACACACAAAAGCGCAAAGCGGCATTTTTGGCGTCACTGTCGACTCCGCTGCTCGGCGTGCTCGGTGGTTAGCGCTGCGCTGCCGACGCTTTGCGGCTTTGCATTCGTTTGTGAATTCGTAGCTTCGATTCTCACATCTATGAAGTTCGTTCTTCATTTGAAATCGTGCGCTCGCCGTAAACACATCAATTCTCGGGTGAAATTGTCGTCTTTATTGTGCAAAAAGAATTAGAGAAAAAAAAATCTTATTACATAGTATACATAAAAGGTAGAGAACGAAGAAAAGATATTTTAATTGTCATAAAACAAATCAAAACGGTTAGTGGAGCGAAGTAGCGTACAAATAGTAAATAAAAAGTAAAAAATATATAAGAACTGCAAAAAGTATTTGTTGGTTACACGACACGACTACAAACTAATTACGCCAAAATTCGCATATATAATAACCATACATACATATATATTTTTTTGGGTAGAGAAATTTTTTTTTGGAAAAGCACTAAAGGGGACAGTGGAAATTCAATAAATAAACCAAGTAGTGTGTGTGTTTGTGTATATAGCATAATATCGATGAGGAAAAATAATATACTCGTATACATTTATCTGTTGAAATGCACAAAAATTGTCTATATTAATGCTTTTAGTTAATTGAACGCGTGTGAGCAAAGTTCATTAAACTCCATTGTTGCGTCGTTAAATTGGAAAAGTCGAAGGAAAATCAAGACCGTAACATGCAAAGGAAAAGGGTGCAGCAATAAAAGCAACAAAAATCAACCGGACAATAGACGAGTGACACGAATATACGAACAGGCAAAGCTGGCATCTGTGAATATATCGATTGGTTGCGTCAAAAGTCACAATTGCGCAGGGCAGAGGAGAAGAGTTTTTTGTGTTCAGGTGGAGTAAAAATATTGAAAAAAGGAACGCAAAGCGGTAGCCCTTCGGGTGCGGATGAAACAGCTTATACAGCAGCGGAAGTGAATTGATGGAAGATGGACGAGTGCCATAGTCGACAGATTAAACATTTTTAGTGCAAACATATTTGACTTAATTAATACGAATTTACGAAGAGACAAACGTGAAAAGTAAATTGTATTTACATACACATATCTACATTGCAATGTTGAACTACAATAAGAAAAGTATCTCATAGAAACACAAAAGTGACGGCAATAGCGACATGAGATCGCGTGCAAGTGTTCATACATATGTGTGTGTGTGTGTGCGGGGAAGCGTTTTTTTATTCATGTCAAAAGAACTGGAAAGACGGCATTATACAATTTATTGAATTTTATTCAATTTAGTTATTCTCTGAAATTAGTTTCGTATCTAATATGTAGTCTTAATATAAATTTTTAGCGATTTTCCGATCATGTTTTTATACCAAATTTATCTAATTTCCAGAAGCAAGAAAAACGAGTAGAATTCTTAAACACCGTGCAAAATCAAACGAAAAATACATCCAGGAAAAGTGTGTATATCGAGCAGCCAACAGCAGTAGCGGAAAATTTATATAAAAAATTACAGAAAAAGTTAGCACAATCAAAAACTATCGCATACAAAGAAAATCGATAAATCGATTAGCTTAGCAGCTCTCGAATTTCACACACGCTTCAATTAAAACGCCATCTTCAGCGTTGCCAACGACTTTTTAGCAGTCAACGTTGACAAGAGACGCAGCCGTCATCGTCGAGACAGCGCAGAATTAAAATAAAAGAAGAAATTTCCGCCAGAACGAAGTTGTGAAAAAGCATCAAAATTATTGCCGCAACGAGAAAAACACACGCCAACGCAAGTGAGTATTAAAAAAAGTAAAGCGCATGACTACATAATTGTAAGCTAGTTTGTACATATGTATGTACAATGAAATCGCTGACTTATAGTGGAGCACCACTGTTGTTTCCGCGTATGCATACATGCATATGTACATATATACGAGTAAAATGTTCATATATTGTCTATTCTCTTCTGCCTGTAGTTTTATTTCATTCTTTCATGCGTCGGCGCATCAGTGCAAAATAAAATTAAATAAGCTCTTTGTATGTGCATTTCGTGTATTTTGTTCTAACACTATCGACTTTGATCGTGTTTTTAGCTATTGCGAGGTCCCCGCCCAGTATAGTGAAACACAATAAAATTGCTTTGTGTTTATCGTTAGAGTTTTGAAACAAATAAAACTAGCCGGTATGCCTTTTATATATTTTATACTTTTAAGCATAATGTCTAGGCGCGGCTACTACTTAATGCTACCTTATTGAATTTTTGGTGAAAAAGTATTTAAACGCTCTTTTTAGTAACTATTTAATGTGTGATCACACACTTGAAATATATTCAAGTTCATACGTGTTTAAGCATCGGACTTTATGACGAAAAAAATGTGTGTAAATAAAAAATTGTATGCATATAGAAAGATTTATTGTAAGTAAATTATGCATATGCACCCATGGATATTGAGCGCAAATAACGTTTGTTTTTATTATTTTCAATTATTGTACTTATACACATTCAATATCGATAATTGACACAATCTCCATACAAAGCTTATAGAAATAACTAATTTACGATTTCCTAGGACAAGCGTAGATATTTAATAAAATCAACCATTAGAAACAGTCTATACATATGTATATTTTATTTATTTTATTTATTTATAAAAACGTGAAACAATGTATATTTATTAATCATATATTGGAACCGAAAGAAATTGGATATAGAAACACACGACACTCGTTGAATTACAGAAATATATGACAATGAGTTTGAATGCATATCCTAAATAAAAAAAAGCAAGTTCTCTGTGATTAAGTTGCGAGGTAATACTTGAATCATCGTTCAGTTTGTTACAAACTAATGAAAATATACATATGTAAACTTACAATTTATGTATATCCCAGTAATAGTTATTTATACTATGCATAAATCTTATTTCTTACTCTAAATTTGAATACTTTATTTTCTTCCTTCCATGTTTTCTATACAACAATCATTTGCTATATCCACGTCCGCTTATAACCGTTTCATTCAACCCTCTGCGCCATCACCTGTTACTTAGTGGACTTTATGATGGCGAATGCCGGTGCTGCAGGCACAGTAGACGCTCAGGCCCAGCTAATGGCTCAAACCGCCGCCAATCCGGCCGCTGCCGCAGCCGCCCTAGCCGCTTCGAATGCATCACCTGCGCAGACTGCTGCCGCTGCTGCAGCCGCACAACTGCAACAGCAGCAGCAGGTGCAGCAGGCCATTTTACAGGTGCAGCAACAGCAAACACAACAAGCCGTCGCCGCCGCCGCTGCCGCCGTCACCCAGCAATTGCAACAGCAAACTACCAACGGAAATACGAATACCCAACAGAATGGCAATAATAACGGCTCATCCGAGACACGTACTAATCTCATTGTAAACTATTTACCACAAACAATGACCGAAGATGAGATACGATCATTATTCTCCAGCGTAGGCGAAATTGAGTCTGTGAAATTGATACGTGACAAATCACAAGCTTTTATGGATCCACTAAATCCGCAAGGACCAAATAAGGGTCAAAGTTTGGGTTATGGCTTTGTCAACTATGTACGCGCACAAGATGCCGAACAGGCCGTTAATGTATTGAATGGGCTGCGTTTACAGAATAAAACCATCAAGGTATCATTCGCACGCCCCTCATCGGACGCCATTAAGGGTGCGAATCTATATGTGTCGGGACTGCCGAAGAATATGACACAGCAAGAGCTGGAGGCAATTTTCGCACCATTCGGAGCTATAATCACATCGCGTATACTACAAAATGCCGGCAATGATTCCCAGACCAAAGGTGTCGGTTTCATACGTTTCGATAAGCGCGAGGAAGCAACGCGTGCCATTATTGCACTGAACGGAACCACACCACCGGATTGTACCGATCCGATTGTGGTGAAATTCTCAAATACACCGGGTAGCACTAGCAAAATAATGCAACCACAATTGCCAGCATTCCTCAATCCACAGTTGGTGCGGCGCATCGGCGGCGCTATGCATACGCCGGTCAACAAAGGCTTGGCACGTTTCTCACCCATGGCCGGCGATATGCTCGATGTTATGCTGCCAAATGGTTTGGGTGCGACAGCGGCCGCTGCTAGTGCATTAGCCAGTGGTCCGGGCGGTGCTTATCCCATTTTTATTTACAATTTGGCACCCGAAACTGAGGAGGCATCGCTGTGGCAGCTATTCGGCCCATTCGGCGCAGTGCAATCGGTTAAAATTGTTAAGGATCAAACCACAAATCAATGCAAAGGTTACGGCTTCGTGTCGATGACCAATTATGATGAAGCGGCAATGGCAATTCGTGCACTAAACGGTTATACACTGGGCAATCGGGTGCTACAAGTTAGCTTCAAGACCAACAAATCAAAGTAAATTATCTTTAAAGCGAAAAATCTACAGTAGTAACATCTAACTGCAACAATAGTAGTAGTACCCAATAACATCAACTGTAACAATAACACACGCATACACAATGAAAACAATAACAGCAATAATAACAATGTAGCGGAAATACAGTAGTAACAGCAGCAACATATTGCGGACGGACAAAAAATGTAAATCGGTGAGCGCGGAGCCGAGCTGCAACCCGACCGCAGGCAAGTTGATGGAAATGCGCGGGTTGGCTTTATTTAAAATTGGTAAAAGTGTGTGATGTGCAAGGCGTGTTGTGGGGAGGATGAGTTTGCTCTTCCTCCCCCCAACATTCGCAACGCACGCCAACCTCGTATTTTCCATTTTTTAATTATATTTTTTATATTAAGCATTTACTAAAAAGTCCAACTTGAAGCTATACGAAGCTGGAAATTAAATTAATTAATTAGCTTTTGAAAGTGAGGTTAATTAATCTAATTTGTTACACTGTAAATTCTAATACAAAATCACAAGCGCGGAGTAGTAGATAGGTGCAGAGAAATATTGACAACAAGAAATTTGTGTTGTAGCAAAATTTTGAGGTTACAAGGCACTTCTAAAAGGGATGTAACGATTCAGTATATCTGTAGCGAAGTGAAAATATGAAAACAAAAAAAAGCAAAGAGAAATCATTTGAATATATTTTTCCTTATCAGCTTCCACCCTCAGTGGCTTTGCGAAAAGAAAATGGATGCACATAAATGCTTAAAATGGCGCGCCAAATGCCGCTAGCAACCACCCGTTGTGCGCGTAAGCAGGCGGCAAGCTTCCCACACGCCTCAAATAATTGGGGTGGTTACGGCAGGCACTCCAAATCAGTCCTAGTGTAACGTCTGGCAGCGTAGCACATATGTGTCTGTTTGTTAGTCACCTGAATTTCACAATGCCAAAACAGTGAAGGAAAAATATATTTCACAGTACATTTCTATGTATGTGTATGTTTGCTTTTGAAATACATATACAAATTTTGGCAATTTCAATCAATGTTCTGCGAGTGTTGGCTTAATTTAGAAAAAGTGGCCTGCTTGGTGGTAATCAAATTGGCAAGCAAATTCTGAAAATTATTACTCGACAGTTTAGACTATTTTTAAATTAACCAACAGCTGCAACTCGCGGCTGAATACTTACTTGCATGTGTGCGTAAACACGAATACACATACATATGTATATTTATTGAATCTCAGCAAACAATATAAACGAATCAACTAGCTGCGCCACACATTCAAATATGAAAGACAAAAAAGTCATTTTATATTTTCACTACTCTAGTCTGAAATAAAATAGAAAAAATGCAAAGAAAACTTATAAAAACGAAAGTTTTGCAAAATTAAGGCCCAAAACAATATTTCTGCATCCTCTAGAATTTCTTAAGTCGATGTAATATTTGTTAATATCCCTACAAACAAAAGCCAAAACGTATGTGTGAAAAAAAATGAATGAGCATCCCTTTACAAATTGAAATCGAACAAAGAGATCAACACAAAATTTTCCAAATTAAAACCCGTTTCGAAAATTTCCAAAACTATAGTTGTATGAAAACTACTACTGCACGAGTATATCACAAAACCGTTTAGCTCAATGAGCGCCAATTAGGCAGTAACTAAAAAGAATTAGTGAACAGTTCTTTTGAAAATATACTAATAATTAAGAAATAAAGGCAAACAAAAATCTTCCAAAACAACCTTGGCCTGCCGGCAGCAATAAAAGTATTTTAAATTTCATTTGCTATTTTAAAAGTTGACAATTTTTATACGTTTTCTAACTCAAAATATGCGTTATAAGCAAATGATAAATTTAAATGCAATAAATTGTGCAGCAAGCGCTCGAAAGAAAGGCTTGAAGAAAGACGAGTGCGTACGCAGGTTTTAAAGTAAAGCATTACTATAATACAATAATTAATTGAATGTTTAAAAACAACTCTATTTTGGTATAAAGGTTTTCAATTATAAGGTTAGCAAAACGAAAAAAAATTGTTAAAACAATTGATAAAGTTAATGAGTTTAGTGGCATTCAAGAGTAAAAAACCAGAAAAGTAGGAACGATGACATGTAATTTCAATTAAATAAAAAATAAACTAAAATTTTTAAAATTATTTAACGTACTAGCAAAACAAAACAAAAAATAGTAAATAATCTTAGAGACTATAGTAAAAGCAACGTCAAGGAGGCTGCTACAGTATTAAATAGCAAAAGCTTAAATTTAAATAATTAAAAAAATATAACTAAGAAAATAACCAAAAGTTGGGTGTAAGTTCATAAAAATATATGTAACTATAAAATAAAGGGGCAAAGCCTGCGTGCGCAAATACAAATTTACAGAAAAAGTAGATCTTTTGAATTTTAAATGAGCTAAACAACTATAACTAGACAGTATCGAATGAGAAACAATAATTATTAAATAAACATTGCGCCTCCAGAAGGCTAAATTTACAATTAAATATATAATACATCCAATATCATAAATAACTATCCACACTTGAGAGTTAATATAAATTTTAAAATAATATAAAAACTTGCATAACATATGAAACAAAAATTTTATTTAAATTTAATTAAACATTAATTGATTGAAAGGTTGCGGCAGATCCTTTTTACATATTGACAGGAAAAACGCACAGCTTGTTGTGTATTTTGGTGGCGAAAAGAACGCAAAAAGTGTTGTTGTTTTTAGACACTATTTTTACGCTTTTTGCGCTTTAATTAACGCTAATGGTGCGCTGAATTAGTAAACAACTTAAAATAACAGTGAAATATTCACATAATATAACTTCATTTTTTTTAAATAAAAAATAAGCGCTAAATATTTTTAGCAACTTAAAATTTGTTTAAAACGAGCTTTTAAAGAGTCAAAGGCAATTTTTTAAGCGCTGTATGCGCGCCTAACACCGTTTTAGTGCGCTAAGTTCAGAAAGTTTTGTATTCGAAGTTATTCTCAACAGGAGAAAGCGGAGCATCCTTATTGTAGTTAGAGCGTTCGTTTTTGTTCTTTTTCGTCACCACCTACGCACAAAGCGCTAACATGAGTGTTCAATAATTTGTTTGAGACAAAATTACAATGTGAAGCACAAATCACCCGAAATACAAATAAGCTATACATAATTTAGTGTGCAATGTTTTAAGCTTTAGGCTGCGCACATATATATATACACACATACATATTATTGACACACACACACATGCATCAATATTCGTGTAATGTTTAAAAAATCAATTTGTTTATTTTTAAACGTAATTTGGTTTGTTTACAATCAATGGTTGCAGGTATTTGTTTGAGGAGCAGTTTTGAATTGTTGAAATATATTTAATAGAAATTTGTTACATTTACGATTTTGTGTTGTTTGTGCTTCCACGAATAATGCCCCTTTGATTTTGTTCGTTTGTAGTGCAGTACATTGGCATCTTGTGTTGATTTCTTTGTTTCAATTTACTTTACTTTGAGTTTTGCGCAAATGCGCTTCAACTATTACTTGCTACAACCCACATGAGTTCGAAATGTAAAAAATACTACTTTCGAACAATATTTGAATTACTTTTGAAGCGTTTAACCAACATATTTGAAGTTGTTTAAAGTTATTTATTAATATACTTTTTTTCGATAAGTTCGATTTCTCAACACGGCTACTACTCTTATGTTTGTTGTTGTTTTTTTTTTTGTACCCACGCTCGTAAATTATAATTTTGTCAAAAAGAAAAAAATGTGTGTTCATGTAAAATTGACGCGCGTGTTCTCCCAGCTATTTTGTACACATAATTTATATATTTATACATATATACAGTCCATATACAATACATACACACGCATACATATACATATATACATATATAAATAGTGAACGTACATAAGTAATTAAGCAAAATATATTTATATACATATTTATTGCATATTTACACAACTTATATTAATTTATATCTACAAACATACGTATACATATGTATACTTATTTCCAATAATTTTGCTTTCAAATTCAGTTTCAACTCAAACCAAACTAAGCACTGTTTCGCAATAATGTTGAAAAATAGTGTTTATACAGCTTATATACATACGTACATATGTATATAACATAATTTATTTTTGCATTAATATTAATATTTTATTACACAAAACACCATTAACTACACAAATTTAAACTTACATTCATTCAATATGTGTACGTGTATGTCTACATATACATATATTTATATAATTATATTTTTGTAGCTGTTAAGTGGTTTTAGTTTTAAAGTTCACAATTTTTAAATTTCAATTTAGCAAATTAGTTAAAAATTAACTTGATGTGGGTATTCTCGGTGGTTGTGTTTGCTCGACACCTATTGCTAACGGGGAAAAACGCGCACTGTGAATACACTCATTGATTTTTTCCTTTATTTTAGTGTTTTTTTTTCAAATTGTAATGTTGAGGTTAGCTAAGCATGCGCAATTGCAGGCAGTAATAAGTGAAGTTACAAAACAAAAAGAAACCCAGAGAAAAAGTAATCACTATTTATTAAATAGTTATATATTAGTACATTTTTTGATGCTAAACAACTTGGGACGGCTGAAGCCTCACAGTTGCTTATACATATATAAATTATATTTTTTTCGTAAGAGTAAACGTGTAGTACGAACAAAGTAAAAAAGAACAAGCAAATGTATGAGAAAAAGCAAACGCTAAGCGAAAAACGCATAAGAACAAATAATTTAATTAAGTTAAAATTTATAAATTTAAAAAATTACTCTTAAGCATATGCATAATAGTGGTAGTCGAAGCTAAACAGATGGTAAAAAGAAAAAAAAAATACAAGTATACACAAAACGCATGAAACAAACAAGAATTCTAGTCAAAAATGCAGAACAAAAATGCAAAACGATGTAAACGAAAAAAAAAAAAATGTATTGAAGGAAAAACTAAACTAAATTGCTAAAGCAGTTAGGCATAAGTTCTAAATTGCAAACATTATAATAACTAAAAATGCTTCAATGTCGCATAGCAATTATGCATGACAAGGTAAAAGAAAACAAGAGAGCAGATATGCAGCTATAGTAACTAACCCATACACATACACAACACTCGTCATTCAAAACTACAGAATGAGCTACTGCGACAATACGTACTAGAAAACAGTCAGCGCTGATAGTGCGTTCGACATGCGTTCAATGCAATTATTATGTTTGAAAGCAATAAGTGCAGCAAACATGCGCTTCGGCTGAAAAATTCGCTTTTGCTGTCGCCCCCATAGATTTCTGTAACATTACACCTTCGGTGGACCCTAATGAAGGTTTCAAGCATTCATTGCCAGAGTTATGATAAAAAAAAATGATTTTTTCAAATTTCTACACTAGAATATCCCCTTAATAAAATTGTTTATACAACATCAGTAAATTATGTCAAGCAATTTTCCCGCGCGTTTCACGATCAAGAAATTGCTTTAAAGTTGCAATATACTCACACTTTACTACTACCACACTCTCGCTTTTCGAACTTGCACACAGTCTTGAAATGATATGCAATTGTCTGTAATATGAATATTTCGTTATATTCGAGATTGTCAATTTCAATCGATTTTGACAAGTATGATGTGTGATCAAATCGAAGACAAGTTCTTGATTGTGTAACTGCTTTTTAAAGGTCCCTTTAAAAATGTTTAAATGTAACTGAAATGCTCGAAACTTTTTCGAAGTAAATTAGTTGTCAAACATTTTTCACATTTGAAGGCAGTGTCTTCAAAATCGTTCGCAATGCCCACAACTGTTTGTTTTCTAAGGCAGGTGTAGCCTCCACGTAAATATACTGCTTTAAATAAAGCGGAAAAAGCTTTGAACGCATGTTTGTTCATGTACAAAAATGCTGTAGTGATTTCTATTTATTTTTTTAAATTCTCTATACGAATAGAAAATAATACGTGCTAAGGTTTAGTTCAAATTGCACACTAACACCGTCAAATTATTTTGAAAGCAGCAAATGCGGTCTGTAAAAAGAGATTACAAATACATAATTTTGTTTTGCTAAAGAGCGAAAGGATATTCTGTGCAATAGTGTCTACGCGAAAATGTGTATCTCAGAAGAAAGTATAAATTTTTGCTTATATTTTTATTAAATTTTACTTCTTAATATAGTAACTATTTTAAGCATAACAATTTTTATTAAACATTAGAAAAAGGAGAAATCTTAGTAACAACAAAAACATCAACACATATGTATGTAGTTGCAAATGTAAGCGAAAAAATTGCACAAAAGTGCAATAAGCGCCAATTTATCGTTGATGATGCAAACTTATGCTTTCTACTTTCTTGACACACGAAACGAACGAAAATTCCCAATAGAGAAATGCATCATCTGCAATGATACGCCATTCAAATATGGACAAGTAGAGATAAGAGCGCGTGCGCTCATGCAAGAGCAAAAGTGGGAAAGCGTTCTACAAACGCATATTGCCAAGAAAGCCGCAATTTAATAGAAGTCAATCCGAAAATTAAGTAAAAAAAATTGAATAAAGGTGGATACCAGTATTGCAGCGCCCCGTTGAAGCAAGTAAATAGTAAAATTGCATAAATATATGAGAGGAGAGCACAGAGAGTAAAGTAGTAAGGAGAGTAGCAGGGAGTCAGCAATCAGCACAAGCGGCACAAAATATGTACGAAAAGCGAGAAAAACGCGCGCAAGCACAGACCACAACAAATAGATCAGCAGTGAAGATTGAATAGACAACCAACTCAAATTGACGTACAAAAAAGCAACTGATAAACTTATAAGAAACCGGAACTTGAAAGATGGAAGAATTAAGTGTTTTCTGTTTTTTTTTGTTGATTTGATTTGATTTGATGACAAATTGCATTTTTGAAATGTGTGTGCGTTTCATGGCAAATTAATTATTATAATTTTCTTTTAAGTAATTATTAGTTTTTAATTTTAATTTTCACATTATGACACAATTTATATGAATGTTTTATGTTTTGTAGTAATTACTAAAAACAATATGCGTACCTTAACTAAATGAAGCAAAGATAAACAAAATCAGAAACGAACACAAGTATGGGACAGAGTAATGAAAATAATAATTACTATTTTCATGGGTTTTCAGTTTGTTTTGTATGATTTCTAATATTATTATTTTTATTTTAACTTAACAAACAACAAATAGTAGTAACTAGCAGTTTGTAAACCATAGTTTTAATTGACTTATTTTTTTTGTAATATTTTTACACATATTTATCTTATTTTGAGCTCGTTTCATCGCATTCCTTGCGTTAAGTTTGTAATTGATTTGCGTTCATACTTTTAATTTCAATTTAATATTACTTTATTATTATTAACCTTTATAATTTTAAATAATATTTTTTTTTGTTTACGTATCTGTTTTAAACCAACTATTTGTACACAGGAAATGAAAATAAAATTGTCTGGCGACAAAATCTCAGAAACGATTACAAAGCGCTAATATTTTATTAAACAAAAATAAAAACGAAAAAATTGCAATTTAAAAAGCAAAAGTGGAATGCTGAGCTTATGCAATTTTTGCACAAAAAAAAAATTATTATATGAGCGCTGACAGATTTTGCCGTTTTTTGCAGCTGTAGGTTTTAGGCCCACGCAGTCAGCAAGCGTGCGCAAGCAAGCATTTTTTGCCACCAATTACTATATTTTTCATTGTGTATTTTTTATTATATGTTATATTTCAGTTTATATTAAATTACTATTACTATTATTATTTGATACAATTGTATTACATAACCATATTGACATTTGAAAATCTTATTGTTTATGTAACTAATCACTCAAGACGCGGCAAGCACACAGACAAAAAAATGTGTATAAAACATTGTTTGATACCTGATACTCCACCACCAATGAGTGACAAAACAACACGTTTTTACGCTATAAACAAAAGTTTTTCCTTCATTTCTCGGTAAGCGAGAATGTTTGGCTTTCAGTTGAGAAGAGCGCATAGCAGGTATAGCGTCAAAAATAGCTATTAGAAACAAAATTTGACACACAATGCTCTCTCTTTGCCCCACCTTCAACGAGAACTTCATTTTCACGCACAAATTTCGAAAGAAGTTTGTGTGTTACTTTGTAAACTTTTGTGACGAAAAATTTTAACAAAAACATTTTACCGGATTTCCCTAAATATATGATTTTTAACACAGCAGTTATTGCTAAATAGAAATTTTAACTTTATCATTATTTTTAATTTTAATTATAAGTTTGTGTTTTTATTTTAATTACATTTAAAGTTTAATTCAATTTGTATTTCCCACACAAAATATCAAAATTGTATTGAACAAAAAGTTAAAAGCGCTAATACTTGTGGTTGATGCGCGCACATATATTTGAAGCGATAAAAACTTTGACAACAACAAACCGTGTTTTTAACCTTAAATAAAATATCAATTTTGATTTTTGAATTTAATTTGTTTTTTATTTTATTATTGTCATTATCATCATTAGATTGTGCCCATGATCTCATGATTTCCACTTCGTTTCCTTTATGATTTCCACTCTCCATTAACTCTTTTTATTTGCGTTACACACACATTTACGCGCGAGTGCGAATGATAGATTTGCAAAGAATTTTTTTTTTGTTAAAAAAAACTATATGAAACATACATATATTCAGCGTATTGAGTCTCAAAAATTTGCTTCGTAATAATTTTTTCTGGTAAAATCTTATTTGAAAACGTTCGACTATTTTTTTCAATCCTATTTTTAATATAAAATTTTATTGAAAAAGTGTTAATTAAATAAATAAAACAAATATATTTTTGCACATCTCGTTACTCGTCTTATGTGTGCCACGCGCTCTCATGTTGCGTTATTAGCATCC